CAACTGACTCCTGGCCCACTCTTACAACACTGACGTAAGCTCGCAACTCCTACTAAAGAACAAAAAGCTATCTATGTGAACAATCTCCGGTCTCTTGACAAGACAATTAGACTCCGGGACCCGTTGACACAGCGGGCAACTGTGGGGGCTAATCAAAACTGTTGGCTCTGGCGGGGAACATCACGACTCGGTGAAGAGAGAAGATGATGAAGTTTTTTAATCTTTCAGCAGCAGATGAGAAGGGGAGATAAATCATGGAATGCACATTTTCATCAGATAAGTAATAAGCAAAAATATCACAGTTCCACTGATTGTCTGAGGAAAAGATTCCAAATCGGTTTGATTAGTCTTTACGTGGTAAGTCTCAAATGAAGGTGCAATGCGAAATGTGAGGCAGCGTGGTGGAATCAGGCTCTCGACATTTTTTGGGCGTGTAGAGTTATTGGTATCATCTTAAAGCTTGTTCACTTGTCTTTTTTTTGGATGAAAAAAAATCCATTTATCTTGAATACAAGTCGAGATATTTGCTAATGGAGGAGGTGGGGGTCACCTGGCTTCATAGGTAAAATAAGTGAGTAAATGGCCGCCAAAGATTAGTTTTTTCCTAAGCTTAAGAGTCTGTGGTAACTGAAAATTAACATTTTTGTGCCATTAATCAACGCCTTTCTGAAAGATCCACACAGAAATGAGTTCTTTAATGGGCATGAAAGGTGTTGAGCCAAAAAACAAAAATTTGATAAAAATTCACAAACCTGCGGAAAAAGGCACGTTTCTTCACTTTGATTATTTTGACGAGAGCCTGATTCCACCGCGCTGCCTCACAAATGATGCACAGATGTATATTATTAAGGCAAGCCACTTCAGCTGGCTCATGGCACCGCCCGTCTGTTCACAGTCATAGCAAAGGTCTTCCAAACCCTAGTCAACCCTTCTGATATCTATACGAAAGTTGTTCCGTATCTGTTCCTGACATTGGGGATTTCCTTGTCAGTGAGACATCTTCCTGGGCCATCGGCATATTGTGGTAGGGTGGCCGATTCCTTTCCACGCCGCCTTTACTTCCCCAATTTGAAGTCAGGTACCCATTACTGCTGGGTGGACTGGAGGGGGCGAAAATAATCCGTGTCCGAACCGAGGCCCGATCCCGGACTTTCGGCTTCGGAGATAAGCGGACTAGCCTCTTCGCCACCGCAGCCTCTACATCTATATTTGATATCTATATCTATTTTAAATCGAACAGTATGTTTATTGCTTGGATCTTTCATTTTAATCTAGTTTAGTGTTGGTTTTATGCAATAGGTTAAATAGTAGCCGAGTAATAGGAGGGTTTGTGATACTGAAAACTTGGATAATGAAATAGGCTGCGGACAAATTAAAGAGGGATAATATACTTATGTATCGTAATCATCATCCGGTGTCTTGCCGACTGGCGTGGGCGATCATGGACCTCCACTTTACTCTGTCTTACGTTGCAGCTATGGTGTCTGTTGTTCTTGCTGTCCCCAGCCATGTTGTCAACCTGTCCAGTATCTTTTCCCCCTGTCTGCCTCTGCCTCTCTTTCCATCAAACTTGCGTGTTCTTACAATATTCTCGAATGCTTCTTTTCGCTATGTGTGTCCAATGAACTTTGCCTGTCGCTTGAGTATGTTCCTCATAAGCTGTCGATCCTTCTGTATACCAAGAGTAACAACTCATGTGCCCTGTTCCCACAGAGTGATGCGGGCTTCAGGGAATGTTACGATGTGGGAAGCATGTCTTAGACCCTATTTCCTCTTTATGAAGATCCGCGTCGATGGAATTATGATTAAACTTGTCATCATTGAATGCAGAAGACGTGGTCTCAATGTTCGCTGAACTTTAAAAATCTAATTATCATTTCTGAAAAGTTGGCAGGAATTGAATCCACCTCTTCAGCGTACCATGGCGACAAGCCAAGTCAAAATTCCACAGACACCAATCTTCATGAAGAGGTAATAGCTAAAACACTTAGGCATCTAATTACGGTGTGTTTTATAA